AAAAAAAAAAAAAAAAACATTTGATGAACTTCCACCAAGCTATTCTGCAGAAGGTGACAAAAGGCTTGCCAAGACAACAATACTAAGAAAATGCCAAGTTCATTCCAAACGCATTAATTCCTAATCTACTCCAGTTAACTAGTGTTAAAACAAAGAAAAGAGCAAAACAATTAGAAACACTTTTCAAGCTCTAAAACATTCCAAATACTAACTTGCATGATAAATGCATACTTAGTTTGATTGTGCTGTTCTATTTCCAAACAGTACTTCTATGGGGGCCCCGCTGCTGCCATCATTTGAGGTTCTGCATATGAAAGATGATTTTACAAATATCAAAGTGGAAATCCCTGGCACAACTATTTGTTATTGCACCCTTAATCTGAGTTGCAACCAAAGGTTAACCAATCAGGTAACGCTGTACAAGTCATCCCAGAATGGTATATTTTTTTAATCAATAAATCCTTTTCAATTAGGATGTTCTGTCACTTGTAAAGATTATGGGGACCTACATGATGTTTTCAGAACTAAGCTTCTATCAGGGACGCTTGGCTCGCACATGATTTTAGGGTCCTGGTTTTTAATCTAAGAATGCGGGCACACTCAGACCCAAGGAGATATGCAAAATGCCTGTCAAGAATAGGTTATTCTCTCCTGCCAGTTCTCAAGAGACCAAGTGTCCTGACACCACGCCATGAGAGATATACTCCTACTCCATTTCAACAGAAACAAAGTAAATCAGGAAAAAGGACTGCCTGTTTGGCCTCTAGAATTTTTCAAACTTCTTCTTGACTGTTTTTGGTCCACTTATCTCCCTGCATCCTGGTGGGTTGATCCATCCAGAGAGGACAAAATGTCTCTCTCTGGGCTTCCTGACATGTATCAACACTGTTATATACAAAGAGAGAGATGAATACCAACCTGAAAAGCAATAGAAAAGTGTGAAAAAGCAGCTTGCTTTCCCCAATTTGTCTCTTAGAAAAGAGTCAACAAATCTGAGGAATCATCTGGTAAACAGTAATGATAATCTCACCCAGCACCTTCCTGGTAGGGGGGAAAAAACCCACCTAAGGCATGTGGACATTCATGGTGAAGTTGAAATAGAAAAAAAAAAGGAGATCATCTAACTTCACATCACCTTTTGACCCACAAACTATTCTGTATCTTGTCTGTTTGGGCAACATGAAAGCAGATTCTAACCGAAGGCATTCACAGCCACATACACACACTCTCCCTAACCCTCAGTTTACCAAAACAGTCTGAAGTTAAGGAACTGAGGCAGCAGCAGACCACAGCATCATGTCTCACTTACATGTAGGCTGTAATACTGCAGAGCAATCTCACCCCATCCCGTGGAGTGGCAAGTCTAAAAGCTGGTGCCGTGGCTGGGATACCATGAAGGGCAAAAGGGGGTGCAGTGCCATCCAGGAACAAATTTGGAGCTCTGCAGGTATTCTCAGAAAAGAACCTTTTCCCGAATCTGAAAAGGACCACCTTTAAAATCCACTAATAGTCTTGAACATCTCACAGCACAACAAATCTCAGGCCCAGAAACAGGTACAAAGGATTATTTTAATCAATCATGAACACAGATAGACACATCACAGTAAGAGAGTAAAAATGCAATGTAGTTTAAGGAATGAATCAAATAGTATACTAAACAAAGTATATTGTCCTCATATGGACATAACTGAGATGAATATAGTAAGAATCATTTCATTTTGTTCATAACTACTCATTCTCAATTCTCCATCAAACAAAAAGAGGAAACTAACATTACATTATTTCTCAAGAAGCAAAGCCTTGCACGTCTGTTCTCACTGTGACTCAAAATTTCATCCACGATGAGATAACTGTGGCTCTGTATTTCTCATGTCAATAACCAATGAGGATGAATCAACAGGTAATAACCTCTTTGGACCTTCACTAATTAACCCTCGTCCAATTCTTGCCCTTTATTATCATGGCCCCATCATGAGCCATGCCACTGCATGTGTGGAAGCCCATGTTCTTACCAGATCTTTCTCAGGCAGAATCCTCCAGCTACATTATTTTCCTTTTACTTAAAACAAACAAACAAACAAACAAAAAACCAAAACACCTCTTAGACTGTTCTAACTTCACTGACTTGATCTTAGTTTCACACGTAAAATCAAACTCCCTATTCTCTGTATGAAAATTCTTCCTCCCGCCAACCAGGGCATTCTTCTCAGGTCCCCAAAGTACATCTCAGTCATAATTATCCTTTTCACTAACAAATATACCCTCTAAGATAGTAGTACAGCAAACTATGAGGTAAGTAAAACTCTATCACACACCCTTTTCATCATCACAATTCAACCATACACTTGAACCTGAATGCCAAATGAAAGGCAATTCTCTCAAAGTTTCCATGATGGGAACTAGAAGATGGATCCGTAGGTAAAAACACTTGCTACCCAATGATACAAGCCCCACAGATTACCTTCAATTACTAGAACCAACAGAAAGGTAAAGAGATCTGATTCCATAGTTTTCCTCTGGCCTATACTAATGTGTGATATAATAAGAAAAGAAGAAGAAGGAAAAGGAGGAGGAGGAGAAGGAGAAAAAAGACTTCCTGATAGCTTTTTTCCATCAACATTTGATTACATTACACCCACTTTGTATAGGGTGCATATCCCTAATTAAACTGCCGCATGTATATGTGTATGTATGTATTTGTGTGTCTGTATTACACACATACACATAATGCACACGAAAATATATTAAAAATACCAAATTAGCATGTTATTCACTTTTTTTAAAAAAGTTTGTTGTAAAATCAATTTCTATAAACATTGTAACAGAACTAGTCTCATACAGCTTAAATTTACTGCATCGCGGAACACTGCTAATTTTTGACAAGACATATACCACCTACCTTGTATGTATGTAAGTTCTCATCATCTCTCTCCCTCTCTCTCCCTCTCTCTCCCATACACAAAGCAGTGTCTTTCTCAAGGATGTCTAAGGATATGTGAGTTTGTTTACAACCTCCTAGCCTTCAACTCTCAAGTCATTCCCTTTTATAGAATTCTCCTCCATCAAGACTACCTTGTGAAAATTCACTACAGCAAATGTGCATTGTGAATGTCCTAATATTTGTCTATACTATACTATATATTCCTGGAAAACAATCAAAATAAAAGCTGATGAAAGTATGCCCATCTTGTTAACCATTACTATTCAGTGTTCCCTCTTCTGGCCTGTCATCTGTAGTTCCTATGGAGTTTGTAATAATTTCCACATAAAACGCCTTCATTTTCATATAGAATATGTTTGGGCTAAACTCTGTCCACAAAGAGTCTGATACTTGAATTAACCTGAAAAAAATCTGGCTGAGACCCAAGGTGATACCCTTCAAACCTTATCTCAACACTCACCCAAAGCCTTGCTTATACTGCCCTTTATACAACTTCAATGGTGGACCTACCATGGCCGTTGTGTACATGCTTATGGGTTTTTCCTTTCCTTGGGGTTGACTGGCATGACGATGAAGCATTGTTGGTAGCTGTTTTGACATCTTCTGTCTCATCATCTTCCTCTTCGACATCCTCCTCATCCTGAGAGCTTCCAAAATATACCATACTGCTGGGCAGCGCAGGAGAACCTGGCGGGTCAGGACATGGACTTCATCAACACCAATCTTGACACTCCCCCTTCCCAGAAAATCATCCACAGGAAACGTTTCCAAAGCTAGGACCCTAACTGCATGCTGGTCTCATAAAACAAAGCTATTCATCGCTGATACCACTTTTATTTTCAAATATTCCCCTCGAAGTGCAACTCCATCTGCATCCTTTAGCAATTTCAAGCAAAATCCCCCAGAAGGGTATAATACCATTCATCAAAACACAGCAAATTAAAATTTTAAGAATCTTATCTGCAATAGTCTCATAGAAAAAAAAACACAAACAATAGCAAGGAATGAATTACACAAGAAAATGTGAGTAAAATGAAAACATCTAGCCATATTGTTGGAGGATTACTTTGCATTGTGCATTTAACTGACAACTTTGGAAATGAGGGGAAAAAAACAATTATTGATGACAGAAGGAGAACTAAATTTTGTCCTTTATGAGGTTACTCTCTTATTATATATAAAGACCAGGTACAGAAGCTCCCCAACACCTCAAATATTTACAAACTACTCTGAAGTTTGTAGGACATGTTATTAAATTTAATTCCTTGGGCTAGAGACAAAGTTCAACAGTTTAAGAACACTGGCTACGCCAGGTGTGATGGTGCATGTCTTTAAACCCAGCACTTGGGAGGGATAGGCAGGAAGTTTGTTTGAGGCCAGCCTGGTCAGGACTACACAGAGAAACCCTTCAAAAAGCCAACCAACCAACCAACCAACCAACCAACCAACCAACCAACCAACCAGACAAACACACAAAAACATATAAATGAGTAAATTCCTGTAAAACACTAAATAGCAAAACTGTGGAGTTTAAAAACAAAGCAATCTACTTAAAGAAGCCATATTCCTTTCTTTTGCATCTATCCTCTCTGTTCTCAAATCTTGCTTGCTCTGCAGTAAAAATAAAGCTGTTAAAACCAAAGAAAAGTCACTTCCACACAGAAGTACAGTATACCCCTCCTTTATCAAGCACAGCTAAGCCAGAGGAAGATGCAATTAAGAAACTGGTATTCTGTCTGGAACCAGAGGCAAAAAAAAAAAAAAAAAAAAAAGGCAGAGATAACACCCTGAGACTTTCTCCCCATTAAGCACCATGCATAGGAAAGTTGTGTAAAAGAACTTTAAAATCCTATGCATGGCCCAAAAGGAAATCTCAAACTTCCTGCCAAGAGCAGGGTTTACAGACGACCAGGGTTTGATTCAGATGGCTCATAATCATCCGTAAGTCCAGTTCTAAAAGATCTGGTTGCCTCTTCTGCACTCCCAGGCACCAGCACTCAAATGGTACACATACATAAAGATAAACTGCTAAACAAAAGTCCCTGTCTAACCTGGAAAACATAAAAAGAATTGATGTATTCCCTTCCTCTTTTTCTTTGCTTGCAATCATTCCTAACCACCACCAACGGTCAAAACTGATGAGCTGGAGGACTAGGAGTTAAAGGCCAGCATGGGCTACACGAAACATTTTGTTTGTTTGTTTGTCTTGGGAGGAAGAAGGGTATAAATGAATGACAGACAACAGCACTCCAATTAAATTATAGGGATTAACTTTTGGAGTAGTAAGTATGAAATGATTTAATTTTACACCCAAACACCAGAGGGCTACAGGCTGCAAACGAGACCCCAGTGTAGAGTTGCATGGTCTAACAAAATTTTTCCTGTTTTATTTTTGCACCTTTAATCAATTTCATTTAGCATAAAGTTTCTTGACAAAAAGAAGGTTCTGAAACCTGAAACTAGTTTTGGAAAAATCATTTGTCAAGCAAGAGTAAAGAAAGTGACATTAAAAAAAAAATAAAAAAATACCCACATTTTCACTGAAGCTATTTATATGCAACTCTACAAGGGTCTTTTTGTAAGGTTTGGGGCTTAGTAACCGGATTTCCACTGGAGGATTTCAGTTCATTACCACCAGAAAGGACAACACAAGATGTTCTTCATCCAAACATCAGTCTTGAGCCCATTTAACCCTCTGTCAAGTACAACAATGGTCCCCTTGAGCAAGATATAGAATACTACGACTCCAAACCAACCTAGCACTTCTGCAATATTAGAAACACTCAAGAATGACTAGCATATCATATAGAAAGCAGACAGACATACACCTGTTAAATATGGGCAGGCCCTTGTACTTGGACATGTCAATGACCTTGCTGTCAATTGACAAGAAAAACTACAGCCTTGTGATGCAGAGTCTACCTCTGTAGCTGTAGAGTATCTATCTGTCCAGGAATCCTGCCAGCCTATTCATTTCAGGTTAGCAACCTCGTATCTAAACCCGAAATGGAAAAATCAATGTACTGACAAAACTTCACTCTATTCTCTAGATAAGACTAAGAAAAAAAGCTAAGTAACAACCTAAAGAAGAATGAAAAGGCATCTGTGAAGTTCTATGTCAAAGAAAAGTACTCATTTCCTTCTCACATAGTAAAAATCTAGTTATCTAGCTTAGAGGTAAAAAGTTTACAGGAGGAATCTAGGAAAGCAGCTTCCAAATCCTCAATTCAGGCATGAGTATGTACCACTGCCGCCGAGGGAAATTATTTCACATTCTTCAGTGCAAAAAGAGGTAGTAGGCAGGTATACCCTGACAGATAATACACAGATGGCGGAATATGGGACGGCCTCAAGAGTAAAGGGTACTGCTGGAGGCTGGTCCAATGCTAATTATTGGCCCTAAGATCTGGTTGCTGCCATCCATGTGTAAACCTGCCTAAGACATACATGATGGGCTGATTACACAGAGCAGAATGGAGTAGGTGTGGCTACGATTCCTGAGCTTTTGAGGAGAATCACAGGAAACAGAAGGACGGGAGGAGAGCGAGGAGGAGGATGGCATGGTGGGTTAGCCTGGAGAAGAAATCATGTGGACCTGGAGGAAGGTCCAGAAGAAGAATACAAGCAAGTACGATGGGATTATGTCTGGAAGGTAGACCAGATGAGGAGGATTGAGACGGATGGCATTGGATGGGGATGGGAGGTAGCTGGTGGCTATTGAGATAGTGTAAGGAAAGTATCAGCCCAAGATAAATAAGGCGATTCTAAACCTTACAGGTTTATAATCGTATGTTTTGTAATAGCGGGTTAGATAATCCTGCCGTGATAATCTGAGGGCTAATAACAAACATTTTACAACCCAACACTTAATATATTTATTTACAACAACAGAGTATGTTTAATTTTTTTCACTATAAACATTTTGTAATAGATCCTGACACACTTTCAAAAAGTTAGTGTCATACCTTGAAATTTTCTTCCAAATGTCAGACAGGTGAAAACGCTATGCTCATTGAAGCCTCAAATTCAAGAGAAATGAGAGTGGATACTAATAATGAAAAGGGCAAATCTGGCAAAATGGTGATTCCCAGCCAAGAAATTCATTTTTCCCCAAGGCAGGATTCAAACCAATTGCAAAAACTACAGCAATGACACTGGAAACAAGACAGGCCTGAAAAGAGCCGTCCTTGGGGTGGCCTCTTCTTCCTGTGACACAAACAAAGCCTCAAGAGTGAATGGTACACTAGCTAGATCGAGAGGTGCTAATTGATTTACCAGTCATAATGGTCTCTACTCTCCTTTACGAAAACTCATTTGAAATAATCAATGAAGGTGAATGTTTTGGAGGATTAAAGGTGTGTGTAGGGAGGGTCCACTTTTTAGTGGGACAAGAAAGTGTATTCAATGATTATGAATAGAATTATGTTAAATTTCAGCAGGCACATTTTTCTCTCCAGATTATTCAAGTGCACTAGCAAATTTGATGGGGGGGGGTTATCAGATAGAGGAGGGAGGAGTACAGGACACATCTGCGCTTTGTCAAAGCTGTATTTCATTACTTTTCAAAATTAGCTGGCAATGTCTCCACAATATTTACTAAAGTGCAAACCAAATGTTTTCATTTGGACAAAATCAAATTGTTACAACCACAACATAATCTAGAGCTTGCTTTTACTAATTTGGTTTCTATAAAGTAGGATGCTTCTCTATAAATTATGTACACAGAGAAGCCCTCCCTAGCCATTATCTTCCCTTCCCTCAACCAACTTAATCTTAGCAAGCAAACACAGCTCTCTGCCCTAAAAGTCTTCCTTTGCACACAGTTATTTAGGATGAAAGTAAAGGGCTAGAACTGGATCCAATTAATATGGAGTGCCCATGGTATTTCTCGTGGTTGCATGAAAGCAGAAACTATAACAGCAGTAACTACAGAAATTACTCCATGAATCCAATGATACACATGCCACTGCTCCACACATTTCTACTTTTACACATACACGGAAACCCACAGCGATGAAGGTCCCTTCAAAGAACAAAGGGCAACAATCACAGGGTTCCAATGCTGGTCCTTCCAGGTCAGCTTTACAATCCCCAAGGGAGACTTCTCAACAGTCACCCATCTGCAAACATACCATATGTGCCATTGTTTTTCTTTCTGAATGCTGGGATTACAACACATTGTAATTTAAATTGAAAGAGGTTCATCAAGTCATAAGACACCATCGTGTGTGTGTGTGTGTGTGTGTGTGTGTGTGTGTGTGTGTGTGTGTG